GTAAGTAGCAGTACACTATATGATTTTTTCCATTAAAATTTCCACGAGGTGGCATCTTCATTTTTTGTTTATGAAATTAATTACTCTAACATGTTTGTTTTACATATATTGTATGTCATGTATAAAACTAAAGTTGTGTTGTCTTTTTTGATAGATATAAGGAAAAAACTAGCGCGTTTGTTATGAGAATATGAATCTCGTTATATGAAGAAGAAGAAGAAGAACTTTATTGCACAACAATTGCACATGGTACAATATATGGCAAAGTAAAAAAAAGACGAAATGTATTTAATAAGACCAGATGCAGAATAAAACCTGATATATCCTAATTACTCAAACAACAAGGGCTAGCACAAGTCTTTGGTAGAGTCTGTATTTTTCTAAACAAAGCAGTTTTTTTAAAATATATTTACCTATTCTTGCAACGTTATATATAGACTCCCCCCAGGTCATAAACTTTTACGACAGTCTGCCGTTTGAAGGCACACATCATGGAGTCAGGCCGGTCCATAATGGCCTATCATCCCGTATTCCCCAGTAACAACACACGGTGTCGTCCTAATTGGACGTAGACAATACCAGCCCGCATCGCCATTGTCCTCGCTTATCGAGGAAAGAATTACCGGCAAAAAGCCACCCGTTCTTCGGGATGTCAGGATTTATTTGCAAAACTCGGGTGTTAACCCGCCTGGCTGGGAAAGAACAACGGAGTCTCACGCGATTTATGCGGCCTCGTGTGGGCAGGGACATAACAACGCAATTATGTGTACTCCGAACAATGAGAGACAGATCAGTGCCTCTAACTTGCTCGCGTGCCGGGGAGACATTCACCAGTTCCCCCCCTCACTAAATAATTCAAACCAAAAGAGGACCCACCTCTAGATTATTACCTGTTCAATGGTTACTCAGCGACTGAAAGTCGTGGGTAAATTGCTCAAAAGTCAACAATCAAATTACTATTATTTTCAATCAATGTCTAAATGGGTCTATCATGGGGCGGTTGCCTATTTGGTTAAACTGTCGATGGATGGAATTGGCGCCGTTTGCTATTTCTTTTTTTATTTAAAGAAAAATAACGAGACAGCAAAATAAGTTAAAGTTTAACAAATATGTAATCTATCATTATAATACCCAAACGGTACTTACTAAGTCAAAGCAATTGTTTTTATTTGATAAGTTGATTTGAAAATTCATTTGTAAAATATAATGTTAAGTAATTTTGGATAAGTCCAAATCAAAGCATTGTTGTTTTAATTGCAGTTATACAGCAGTAACATAAATTCTCTCCCACGTATCCAAGTGAGAAACTATTTTTCAGGTAATTGTCATCTTATTATTATTACCGATATCTGTAGGCTTGAAATTTAATAGTTATAAGACTCTGTTTCGGTTTTTTTATACAATGTACATGTATTCACAGTTTGTACGTAAGTTGTGAAAACGTGGCCAATGCATTGTTACAAGTACCAAGTTTTAGGTAATTTTATCAATTGCGGTACGTATATGTAATGTTGAGATTTGCCGACGAAAACTTTAAAACTGCAATTCGAGAGTCATCCACATTGTGGCGTTTTATATATGCTCACTTTGAAGGGCATTTTATGCTACCTTTGCTTTACGTACCCTCTTTTCTCGTTATCCTCAAAGCGCCATTTTCCCTGAAGTTCCGTTCGAACAACCAGTGAAGGGGCGCCTCCTGTCGGTTGTGGCGGTATCGCAGCAAGCCTGGCACCATATAACGTTACCTGTTAATGTTTTACCCATGATACGCTAAATCCAAATACATTTTGGCATTTTAAATCCAACGAAGAAGAAATTTCAAAGCATGCTTTTCACTCAAATGTTTAACCAATAAAACAAAATATACGTCGTCATTGGATCAACTTTGGAAAGAGTCAGCTGGTGACGCATATGAATATTATTTCAAAACTTCAATGTGTGTAGGTCTATCGATTATGCATGAGGTTATCAAGTTTTTCCTAGACAGTAGTTATAAAAAAACGGTATTTTATGGGGTTTTAAGGAACGTTTCCGAAACCACCTTTACAAAAAGCTCATCTTTATGCAAGGTGGATAGCTCTTCAGTACCAAGGACAGTGGCAACATCTACTTGTCTTTACTATACTGTGCATGATTTTTTTAATAGAAGTATAGAGGGAATATCTCATAATGAAGGCAACTTATTTGCCAAACTTTTTCATTCGCCCGCTCGCCTCAGTTTTGGGGTTCCCAGACGATGTCATCCATATAATCATATCAACATGACTTTTAACTATAACACATTATATATTCAACGTCAGACTTTTTTTTTCACTACTCTCAAAGCACTACGGGGGATGGCGCCCAGGCTAAGAATGCCTGTACCATTCCTAGAATTCTTGCAAACTGCATACAACATTGTACCATTAGGCTCCTCCCTGAGACGTCGCCAAAAACATGCCAAAATTTAGGTAACCCCAAACCTCTGCTTGGAGAGTGTTTTTTTACGACAGTCAGTCGTTTTGCGCCACGTAGGGCCTCCCTCCTGCGCATGCGTAATGACCCAATCCTCAGAAAATGGCGGACGAACTGAAACGGTTGTCGTGTCTCTCCTAACATTTCACGTCTTTCCTGACATATTCCGTCTCATTTCGTGCTCAAACTTGCCTGTACAGAAAAAGACAACATGGGAGCAGTGCTTACACGCTTCAAAGTAAGTCCACAACTTTTTCGTACGATGTCACAGCACTATAATACTGTAGAGCGGAAGTTTCTTATTTGGATGTCGTAATATTTTTGCTTTGTCAAATATATAACGTTATATTTTATAGACCATGCTTTTCCAGACTGAGAAAATTCTCTTAATAAAAACTATATTGTTAACCTTGTATACCCATGTTGAAATGTTATTTTGAAAACTTACGTTTTACTGATGGAACAACAATGATAAATATCGATTTATGAATATTATATTTGACAATTCTACATGTTTAACCTATAGTTGTATTTCATAAATTTTTCGTACGTTTTCCCCTCCCATAGAAAAAGCAAACTACGGTAGAAGTGCTTGAAGGGCTAGATAAGGTATGTATTATCTGTAATATTAATATATATTTGAATATATTTTGTGGATTGTAAACATTAATAATGTTACTGGTTAAACTTCAAAATTGCTGAATAAAATGGAAAGGTTAACATCAATACAATTATGGCAGTATTTGGTCTAACTTTTATTACCTAAACATTTGTCATGATCAGGTGTCAATCAGTCATTTTCATTTCTGTGACTTCTGTTTTGCCATCATTTCATGCAAATCATTATGTCTGGTAAATTTGATACTTCTGTGTGTCCTACAGATGATTATGTCTTATAAAATCTATTCCAGTTGTTGTCAATAAAAATAATAGCCATGTCACATGAAAGGACAATAAATATTTACAATTGTCAGCAAGGTGTGACAATGACATAACATAAGCTTGTATTTTACTGTAAGGCCACACCAAGTAAATTTTATGGATGACGTCCGCGCTCGCATTGATTTTGGCCTGTTCCTAGAAAAAAAAAAGAAATTCCGCTTCCTGTAACTATGACCAAAGAGTCACGACAGTGCCGCAAATAGGTTTGTACGGACCAAAGCTTATGAAGCATCAAGCAAGGAAATAATGACTTCAATTAGGAATTCAGTTTGGTACATGCTGCCACATTTGAAGGAACTTGCTGTCTGCTCCATCTATCTCCCCAAAGCACAAGACGACAACTGCCGTTCCACCTGATTTATTGCTGTTTTGATGATAAATAAGACTTCTTGCTTGTTACACTGTGTCACCTCATTCTATTTGTGTCCTAACATTTGTCGTCTCATAGTATATTTCTAATCTAGGCATCTTGTTTTTTAGGGCCCTTCTTGTTTTTTCTTCGCCCTCTCGCATTAGATTTAGGGTCTCCAAAGGACGTCATCCATAAAATTTACTTGGTGTGGCCTAATTCATCATCCTAAATTCTGCATCTGAATCATCGAGAATTATGCTGTAAATGTTTTACCAACAAGGGTTAAACTTGAAATAAAATTACTACATATGTAGGGACATGAAACATTGAACAGTCCACCATTACATGAAGCACTTCGGAATGTTGACCTAAATTCCTGTTCGGAAGTTTACTTAGGAGGGCCTAAGTCAAACCTTGTGTTATCTATATAATGTAGTCCACAGTCTAGCTGTAGACACATAGACATTCAAATCAAGTCAAGGTTATATGCACAATTGGCATTTCAGGGCTTGAAATATTTTTTTTTAAGTTCATGCAAAAATTGCATGTTGGCAAGAAAATCGCAATTTCCTACATGCATGTCATGAAATTCACTTGCAAATCTTGAAAATCACAGTGCACATTGCATGTTGCATGTGGATATTTTGAGCCCTGCACTTTATAACCAATATGAGTATGATTACTATGAAAATATATGCCCATTTTCCTTACAAGTTACAGGAACCATATTACTAGTAGTACTAGTAGTAGCGCAAATGTATTCATCAATTCAGTTTAGTGAAATTCTATATCACCAAAAATAATTGTAAATTTAGAAGTTGTGAAGTTATAATTAAGGACTAGTTTTTGTGGGGAACTAACAAGAAGATTAATAGAAATTTTTGCTTTTTTGCAGACTTGGTTAAATGAAGTACTAGTAATATTGTTTATGAATATTACTTAGAATCATTCCCAAATTGATAAAATGTTTCCAAAGTGTCCCGAAAAGTAGTTCTAGGTCCTTGGAAAAAAAAGTTGGATAAGTATAGAGAAATTGTTCCCAATTGTCCCTTTGAAACTATATACATATGTGTATACACAATGTATATAATTATTACCCTACAATACATGATTATAAGTAAATGTACTGTAATTTGGTGCAAAAATACTAAAATCATCTACTTTTCTAGAGGGAAAAGGATATCCAGGGGTTTTTAGCCTGTAGTGAAATTCGCCTTTGAAACAGTTCTGTACATCAGTAACAAGTAGAGCAATAGAAACAATATCATATATTACACGAACATCCTTAATATAGTAATGCTATATATGCTTTTGTGTGAAAATTCTTGGCACATGTTTACATACCATTTCATTATCAGCAATGCCATATTGAACTCATAAATGCATGGCTGGAATGTGTTAATGTAATTGCAACAAAGTTACATACACAAAATATGATCCCTCTGTTTTGAAAATAAGCTATTTATAGGATAGTCTAGGCAAGGTTGAGATGGGGTGAATTAAGGACAATGTGAGTCTATCTGTCACACGGAAAATTTTTAAGTTTAACTGCTTTCCAGTAGCGTGCAGTGAGTGACAACAGCCGGGATTCAAACTCCCAAACTCTCGGTCCAGAGGCTTGGTCACTTATACCACTGGACTATGCACGCTACTGATTTGAAGGATTTAACTGTGCCGTATTTTTGTTTCAGGAAATCCAGAGCTTAGAGCAATTTAAACGGCACAATGAGGAGTTGCAGAGACGTTACGTTGGCGGGCTGCTGATTTATTCCATCGTGTTGTACATAGCCGCTGCCGTTATGTTCTACTTCCTCTTCTTCCCTGAGGGCTGGCAGGAGCGAGTCATCCGATCACTACCTCTACTCATGTTCCCACTGCTGTAAGTTACAAAGTCACAAACGGAATCAGCCACTGCACAGTGTTCTAGCAGGACTTAAAATACTGGGTATATGTGCACCTTAGTGCACCCAAGTGTCATTGAACTGTACTTAGTCTACCAGCAAAATGTGCCACTGTTCTATTAAAGCTAGATTCTAAGCAAATACAATGTAACCCCCTTATTAATTTTTCAGAATATGGACCGTCAAGAAGCTACTCCATTGGTACTTCGTAAGAAGAATCACAAAGAAAGGTACTTTTGAAGAGATTAGGCCACACCAAGTTGATTTGTTGGTTGTCAGATTTTTTCAGAAGAAATAGGGTTCTCAGATTTTCTCTGACATGACAATTGTTACCGGTATGTCATACTGATATTTTCTTCTTTTTTTTCAGAAAGTCAGCTAGAAGACTTGAGAGAAAAGAAGAAGAACATTGTAAGTTGATATTGTCTAATCCTACCTTGAAGTTCCCTTAGTTCTACCTCAAAATAAATCCCAGTGAAACAGTAAATGCACTTCCGGTAGGAAACAAGTGTACAAGCAGTCCAAAGTAGTTTTTGGAAAGCACTACTCTGTGATAGTTGCACATTACACTGGCCATGGAATGCTCACATATTTCAGACTCTATGCATCCTTGTCTTAAACTTTTCCTTACTAGTACTATGCAGTCTGCAGTGGCGCTGTGTACCAGTTCTGGACTTGTAAAAATGTTTAGATTCAATCTGAACCTGAATCTGTGGACTTGAATCCAGACCTGCACCTGAACGTGGGTTTAGTTCACTAGTCTGTAGTTTCAGCATATGTAAACACAATTGTTATCTTATTCTATGTGCAGAAAAATTAAGACAAAACTTATAAATTTGTATCTTCACAGCTAGAAGATGTGATGGAGCACGAGACTTACAAGGCAGCCAAGGAAATTCTGGAGAGATTTGGACCAAGCAAAGAAGAGGTAAAGTACATTCTCTCAATTTGCATGCATTTCTCAATTTGCATGCATTTCTACAAACTAGTAAGTGCTTTTGGAAGAAATGACTGAACAAAAGATTGAATGTATTATGTATTTGCATAGAAAATATTTTGTTCTTTCAAAGAACTACTGTGCAGTGTAACTCACTGGCACCAAGTAGGGTAGAGGCATCCTCTAGCTTTGAACAATAGATGTGCAACAGTTAGGTCATTCCATTTATTATACTGTAACCAGTACCGATGCACTACATGCCTGCAAAATTGACATGTTATGCCAAAAAGTGGTTTCATAGGCTATAGAGAAACAGATATTGGTGGACATAGCTGTCTCAAATGCTATAATCTAGTGCCTGTATTATTTTCCCCAGCCGACTCCTGAACAGACCCCACCAGGCAGCCCGAGAAGACAGCCAGGGCCACCTATCCCTACCCCCGGGCCCCCACCTCCTGGACAAGGTACTAAAACAAGTCATTTCTAAATATGCATGTTGCTTTAACAGGTTTGGTTGCAAACTATTTGTTATGTTTAAAGAAATTGCTCCTTATTGTTATGTTTAAAGAAATTGCTTCTTATTGTTTAAGACTTAAGATACCAAGAGATCTATAGTTTCTATGTACTTGTATGTTAAAACTACTGGATTGTCAGTCTAGAGAGTAATGTGAAGATTCTCATACAATAGCGAGAGACATCGACCAAAAAAAGATCAAAAGAAAGCAACTTCACCTTAACCTGACATTGACAGGAAACTTTTAAGAAAGAACAGCATTTTTATACCATAGCCTGACATTGACCAAAACGGATAAAAATTTTATACACCCTAGCCAACAGAAGTCACAAAGCAGACAAACCAGTGTCACATTCCTACAGAACTCACCTACACAGACATAAAGGTATGACAAGACCACCAATGGTAAATCACTAACTTGGGGGATGGTTTTCCTATGGATATCTTTTTCATATAGTTCCTGGGAAAAAATGTTGTTTCCTGTTATGTATAAGCTGGATTACGAGGGATTGCCAAAATCTAAAAAGAAAAAGACAAAAAACCTACCTGCTGACCCAAATTTTTTTGTGACCGAAACAGGAATTGCACCATTTTTTTCCAGGTTGCATCAGCTGCATACTTCACTACAATTAATATTATTACCACATTTTCTCCCCATATACTTCAAGGGACAAGGTTCTATGTACAACATAAATAGGATAGGGACAAGGTACCCTTGGTGGGTGTTCAGGAGGCCAAATTCATGAATGTGTGACATTCGGGGGTCTGAGGAAAACCATCTGCACTTGGTGATTGTTATTTTCTTTGGTGGTAAGGCCACACCAATATAATTTGTTGCTTCTTGTATCGCCCTGTCCATTTTTTTCTGATTTGCAAAAAAAAAAAAAAAAAAATTTTTTGTTCTAAATTTACTGCAAAATGCTCAATGAAAGACATATTTTGGCCCCAACGGTTGAAAAAGTCCTTAAGTTTTTCAATGTAGCAATGCAATTTTGTTTCATTAAAAGTTCAAAATCTATTGTTCTAATTATAAACCAGCCTGGTATGTTCACTTTATGACTCATATTGTAACATTTCCAGCTATCATGGGGTGCCTTGGCTTTTTTTATTTTGCCCTGTCGCTCCAGATTTTTTCTGAAAAAATCAGAGAAACAACACATTAAATTAATGTGGCCTAATGCTAAATAGGCTTAGCACTCTTACTCATACACTTTGATGGAGCGATGTTATAATTCAAAATGGCGTCACTCCAGTTGTGTTATCGTGTTTGCTGTCGTAGAGTTACGTCAGCGGAGAACGCCAGCGCCGCCTGCCCAGCCCAACATCCCCCGCCTGGCGGTCGCCCCGACTAGAGTGGAGACTCCTTCCCAGGGTACTCCGGTGCCGCCCCGGCCCCCTGGGCACTCTCTGCCCCAGGCTACACCGTCTATGGGTATGTCATCTGATTTGTGTCATTTGGAGAAATTCAAGACTGAAAGAATATTCATCCCTCTATGTTTTTTCAACAATACATTATAACAGAACTAACAAACTAACAATATCACCAATCATGAAAAATGCACTCATCAATGATTATATATGATATACATATCAAACAGATTGATTTAACAAATATGATTATTTAATCTATCACTATTTTGTTTGACTTGAGTTCAAAGCCTGATTTTAGTTTCATCACAACTAACTGTCCACATTGTCGCTTTCCAAAACACGTTCTGTGTCCACAGTTAAAGTACGAATGAAATTGTTTTGTCACAGCTTGTTTGATGTTACTTGTTGGCTTAAGTTGAATTCTATTTGTCAGCTTTTAACGTTTGTTATCCAAAAGCTTGTATTGTGGCTAGCTAATGCTATGCAACATGTGCAGAATATGTCCTGCTTTACGCAGAATTCTTGTGCTATGTTGACTGCCAAAGTGTTTTTAAAAGAAGGAAGGAATAAATTGTTGTTGTTTTACATGTTTTTAATTGCACATAGATTGCTCAAGTTGGAATGAACTTTCAAAATACAAAATGTATTAACATTGTACAATCAAAACATGGATGTTTAAATTACTGTTCCGGATAGCGCATGGACTAATGATTGGTTGGTTTGTATAATGTGTGGTGTGCTGCAATTAACCTCTGTGCTGCATGGTGGCGTAGTCTCCCCCTGGACCCCGTCCCGTGGCCCGCCGGAGTGGCATGCTGGGACACCGTGGCCCGCCGGAGTCCCCAGTAAGCCCACGCACACAGTACGGCACGCGTACAGCACGCAAACAGTACCACTACAGCACGGCATGCACAGCACATGGAGTGAGCCTGCACTCAATCACGTTTTGTACATGTAGCTGATAGGCCACAGTCACACTGATTGATTTTTCAGATGACATCATTTCAGGACCCTCAAACTAGTGTGCATAGGGGAATAAAATAAAAATTCCAGCCAAAAAAAGTGCTGCTAAACCACAGGAATACAAAGCTGGTATTGTAAATTTGTGGTAGTACATGTACATTACGACTTTTATGACAAGCCGGCACATGCGGCATGTATGAGTTGGCACTGTACTGAGTTCTTGAGTTCAGTGGAGCTTTGGCAGCCTGGGTGCAATCCAACATGTTTATGGCTGCCTCTCTAGATACCATGGACTACGGAGGATGGCACCCAGGCCAGAGTCTTGAAGGAGGCAAAAATAAATGTGCGCATGGATGTCATCCCTAAAATTAAATCAGTGTGGCCTTATAGAGCTAACACTTTGTTCCAACTCAATACATAATAGGAACAGCAAGCAAATTTTAAGCATCTCAAGTTTTATTCTCAATTAAAAATTGGAATACCCAGTTATGTAGGTCAGCTTTTGACAGCACATTTCTCTCACCAGAAAACTGTTGTGTTGTGTTATCTAGTGCACTAACCATAATGTATGTACACTAACATGTTTAACAACTGTTCAATGTGTTGTCCTTCCACTGCATTCTGATCAAAGTACACTACATGTATACCACAGGGTTCATTATAATACGAATGTTGACCAAAAAGTATGTTTTCTTGATCAAGAATCTCAGCCTCCAATTCAAAAGCGCTCCTAGCAGATGACAGAAAAAGTACAGGCTATATTCAACTCTGGTTACTTTATTCTCTTCTAAAAAGTTTGTCACATTTTAATAGTATTCTATGAGGGTCAGTGTTGATATCTTCTTGTTCAGTGAATTATAGTCAATTTTGTTAGCCCAAATTCTATCTTCTCACTTCCAAAATGAAAGTCAAAATTCGAAAATAAAATCAAGACTCAAGTCAAAAGCAATTTTGTACACAGATCCAGCCAGCCTGAAATTTTTTCTGTCATCTCAATTTTGTTTCATGCAATATCGAGCACCATCTCTTTAAACACTGATTGTTGTCTATCAAAGATGATGGATTGGAAGAAATTTTTGTTCATCATAAGAGGCAAACTTCCATTAAACAAACGTATTGTGACTAGAACACTATACAGAGCTAATTTATTTTTTACTTAACCCTTGTTCTACCAAGGTCGTCCTCCCGGACCGCCACTAGCGCGCCCGATCCTGCCCCGTGAGCGGACGGTGTTTGATCGTGTTGTTGACTACCTAGTGGGAGAGGGTCCCAGCAGCAGGTTCGCACTCATCTGTCAACAGTGCCACTCTCACAACGGCATGGCACTGCAGGAGGAGTTTGAATTCATCAGTAAGTTCTGTTTTTGTTTATCTGTTTGTTTATTATGTTTACCAAAGGAAAACATATTGTTTTTGCTATGTTTCCTCTTCTTCTTCTCCAAACAGTGACATCTGACCTGACTAGCTGAACCAGACAGGCTCTCACCATGTTAACTGGTGTTGGGTTACATAATGTTGCAATTTTATAGCAGGAGGGATTTAGACTCCTGTCTGACCATATATATGAATGTGTTTGAATCAGAATTAACAGAGCAGACCATATTCAAAGGTAAACATTATGCATTTGCTTTGCAAATGTTACTTTTCTAGTTTTTATGTTTATCTTTGCAAAAGGAAAATAGAGAGCCTCGATACACACAATCAGTTGCAAGTGTTATGTAGATTATTAGCAGTATGTGCAGAAAATGTTGACACTTGTTATACTCCTTACTGGTTTTACACAAAAGGTTTTAAAGATGTCTCTGTTGTTGTTTCCAAGCGTTTCGCTGTGCGTACTGCTACACGCTCAACCCAGCTCGTAAAGTCCGCCCCACTGCGCCCAAACTCTTGCCAGACGAGCCCGCGACGCGTTCGTCAACCGCTGGTGAGGACGTGTACAGCGAGGAGGAGCGAAAGTTCGTGCTTCACGACAAGGACAGCGACTCGGAGGCCAACCTCGCTGACGGGAAGGGTGAGGGGTTTACTTAAAATGTGGTGGTCACGGGTCAACACAATGGCAGCAGTTTGGTAAAAGTCTAGATTTTTGTTTGTTTTTGTTTGGCGCACGGAGCCTTAACGCCAGCAAAACCATGCTTTAATACTCCTCTGTACTGCTGTGTACCGAAACCCTGGTCTGGGTCCCAATTCAAGTCCAGAAATTTAGGTTCAGATCTGGACTTGTAAGTCATGATGTAAACCCAGAGCATATACAAAATACAGAGGGACTTGCAGCGCAAATTTTTGACTATTGAAGATTTCAGATTGTTAGAACGAAAAGGGGTATGTGAGTTGAGTCTTTTTTTTTTTTGTTCAGGTTATTTTTCCTCGAACCTAAACATTTGTACAAGTCCAGAACTAGTTCCAGCGAACCGGTACACAGCACTACGCTTCTGCTGTCTGCATTTTGGGCTGATCCATTCTAAAAAGAGGAGTCGCCCTCTTCATATAGCTGACAGCATGTTGTAGAGACTTTGGCTGCTGCAAGCATAAAGTTTAGAATACCACAGTGCTGTATCTGTATAGCCGGTTATACCTGCCTCTCGGCCTAACACACCAGCTGTGCATGTGCTGCCCACACCTTGAGCCATGTAGTGGCACTAGCCCACATATTAATGCATATGGTAACCCCAGCCCTGGCAAAATGTGAAGCATACGCATGGTTTGTTTGTTTGTTTGTTTGTTTAGGATCTCCAATAGTGTGTATTGTCACACTATTCTTCCTGTAGTCCGTAGTGAATCATCAGATAGTAGTATTTGGGCCATTGTACACGGGGGCATGCCCCTACTCTTTTCGAAAGGTGTAATGGGTTCTTTAACGTGTGTGTGATGTGCCTCTCCCAAACATGGCACCTCCATTTAACATCCTATCCAGGGGACATCTCTAATCAAAGCTATGTACTCATTTTCACCTGAGTGAAGTGAGAAAAATTGTGTAAAGTGCCTTTCCCAGGGTACAAGATCGGTGACAAGGTAGGATTCGAACCCGGGACATCTTGGTTCAGAGCCGAACACACTACCGCTACGCCACATGACCTCACATCTCTACAACTGTACATTGATTGCCAAATTCATGAACTGAAGTACATCAAGTCAGTTGACAAAATACACCGGTGGGCAACCTACGGCAAAAATTAGGTTGCCCTGCCCATCAGAATTTTAGGTTGCCCTGGTATTGTGAATTTGCGGTAGTAACATTACATACATGTACATACTACTTTCAGCCTTTAGTTAACTGATACTAGTAATAACCATTAATACCTAAAATACCTAAAAAGCATCTGCCAGATACAGTGGTGCAAGCCAAGTGGGCACAATTTTTTTTTGGGGGGGGGGCATTCTTAAAACTCAGCTAGCACACTGGGCTACCTCGGTTCAAAAATAGGTTGCCCCAAGTCAAATTTGGTTGCCCGGAGCAACTGGGCAACCAGGTATTTTGCACCCTGCATCTGTACAACTCATGCTTGTTGCCTTACAGATGATGAGAATGAGTGTGACAGAGAAGAGAAGGATAGAGAGGAGGAGGACATGATTGACACGGTTGCCCCCGGCAACAAGGACATGATTCCAGAGGAAGAGAAGGCAGGAGGAGAAGGGAATTCTGGGAAGGCTGTTGAGGATGTTTCGAGTGACACACCGGAAGATATCGGAGATGGACATATCAAAGAAGATTGATGAAATTAAAAGACATTTGAGAAAAACCAAAAAAAAATAATGTATCAGCACCTTCTCATGCCTTGTTGTATTTTGGTAATGAAAGAAAAAAAAGATTGTTGTTCATACTTGTCAATGTAAAACTTCAGTGGGGATGAGAGAAGGGGGTGGAAGTTTGACTTAAAAATCTGTCAACTTAACCTTCCTTCGATTCCTATGTTGAGCCTTTAAGTTAACCATTTGCTGTAAGGTGTATCCAATAATTACAAATGTATATAGGTAAAGTTCACCATCCATATAGTCAATTTTGTTTAAAGATTCTGTTAAACTGTTATTTTTGTTATCATCCATATACTCTCACCCCCTCCCCCTAAGGGATTGCTGTTGACAAGTGTGTAAAGTTCCCCTAAGGGCTTTACCCCCAAAGTTTGACTTTGTTGAAGTGTTACTTTAAGTGTCTATAGGAGACATTGTCTAATATTTTCATGGCCAAATAGCTCAAAGTTATGCCTCTATGAAATTAGGAGTCGTATTTGGACATTATTGTCTAAACTGTGACGTAACACTGAAAATGACTTGAAGATGTAGCCATTTTTTCAGGTTAGATAATAAGAAAGGCCATTTGGATTTCAGTTGGTATTGTGTTTGTGTAAAGAAATGTAGGCATCAAGAAATTATTCTACCAAATACTTCAATATCCACCTAATTATATAAATGCCAATTGGCTTAGGACAGAGACCAAACTAGCCAACTTGTTCTGTTTACTTGAGAGTGTCTGTTTTATAGAGATAATTACATTAAATCATGCTCAAACACTGCTATGCAGAATATGTCAAACATAACTCTTTATACTTAATATTTACACCTTTATAACCTTATGGTTACGCTTTCTCACCAAAACGTGTCCTGGACAATGTGTATCAAGTCCCAAAAATTGATCACGTACTGTGCATCAGCATTCTCCACTTGTGCCTATACATATGCACTATAAGTTTCCTGGTGCCACTTGTATTTCTAAGATGTATTGTTTTCAAAATCATGTGAATGTTGATTGCTCTTTGCACTATTCTTCTGCGTACTGCGTATTTCCATAAATTGTTAATTGAAATATTACTTCTATAATGACAACTAAAAATGACAAAACCTGTGCCTCCCCCCCCCGCACACAATCTCCAAAAAGAGT